ATTAATGCACATTAATACAAAGCATATGGTCTGTGGCGCCAGATTTCGGATCTATGGCAGTGATGTCGTGGGTTCAGACCCGGACCTGATATCTACCACTACATTACTCAGTACTTGTACTGTACCGGCTCACCCCCTTTTTTGCTTTGCCGGATACGTTACACACAGTGGCCCATGTCAGAGTCAGGACTATATGCCCATGTGAACAAGAAAATGCACTTAAAGTCGAAAGAGGTAACTAACCTCTCTTTAGAAAAAAAAAATCAAGGAGCTTAGTAGCTGTGTCCACACTCGCGTGCTTTAAATTTCAACGTGCCTTTAACTTTTAATTAAACATGCGTCCAACTCATGCGTTATTGCATGGGCTTATAGACATGCCTTTCAGCTGTCCACACTGAGCATGTAACTAATGCCTCACATTTTAGATGTCTTTTCCTAGATGGATGAAGACAACGCTATTCTGTTAAAGCTAGAAGGAACTAGATCCGGAATATTTTGGATTAATAAAACTTCAAAAACGATAGAAATTAAGGTGTAAATGTGGGTAAAGGAGTACCTATACTATTTAAAACTCATAATTTTCTTATTTAATTTATTAATTTAATTCAATCTTTATTATTATTTAATTTATTTTAATAGATTTAATACCTGTATGCCCCACAAACACATGAGAGTGATAATCATCTATGAATTCTGAGGTATCTTAGTTATTCATGTTGCTTTAAACAACTACAACACAGGATGACTTGTCAAAAATGTAAAGCAGTTGCAAGTGGAAACACACAGAAAAACAACACTGGTGTCTTGCGCTACGCTATGCGCTACCTATGTAATGGAGCTCATTTCTGACTCAATTAGGGCATGCCGCATGTGTTTGGCCACAGCCACCTGTGGTTTGGCGCACACAGAAGCGCATGAGTGTGGACATTCCTAAGAGAGATGACGGTAGAAGAGGATGTGTGCACCAGTGCACACCTAGGAGACTACATAGATGTATAATACTTCCGTAGCGTATATTATACGTCAATGGGAGGCTGAAGCTGCTAACATGATGATCATGGTGGTGGTGGTGGTGAAGATGATGATGATGAACCATCAAAGCTGTGAAAACTTACAATACCATCTGTTGCTGAAACTTCTTTTCAAGATTGTCATAGTATTTTTTTACTGCTCCGATCCTTTTCTCAATATAGTTTTTTTTCTCCATATAATATTCTTCTTCAGCCATGACATCTATTTCTTCTGCTTTTTCATGGCCATCTTGTTCAATGTAATCAACCATTATTTGGAGCTAACACAACAAAAATAAACTTATCAAAACAAAATTGTAATTTAAACTGTTGTGGTAACTTATTCAAGACAATGAAATTTTGACCTATCTAGTCTACTGGTCAACGGCTGCTTTCTTCAAGACGTCAAAGGTAAAATTAACTATGGTTGTTAATGTAAAATTTTTAGATAGCTAAGTTCCCCACCATATTGTAAGACACAACTACTTAAAATACTCATAAATTCATTAGAAACTGATAACCCATAAAATTTGGAGTGAATCAATTTTGGTAAAGTGATCTGAAGGAAGTTGAGGGTTTCATTGAGACTTCCAAGTACTTGCAAAGCGCAAAGATTCAAACCAATGAATGTAATATTTTAAAGACTTTCATATCTCCCAATTTTTATTGTTCATAATCTTATTTCTTTTTTCACTAAAAAAAATATGTATTTGTTACTATGTTAGCCCCAGAGACCCAGCATTTATAAGATAAGGCAATCTTGTATCCTGGCTAAACAACAATGGTAGATCCTGGAAGAAAGTTTTGGGGAAGTACACCAGAGGGTCCTAGGATAATTTTTAAATGCTCATAGACAGTGGTGTAACTAGAGCCAAAATGTAACCAATGCAGTGCATTGGAGCGCAGGCTTTTAAGGGGCATAGGCCTTAGGGGGGCACAAAAAACTGATATTCTGGAAGTTTTTAGAAAAAAAATATGTTGAAGTAAAACTTTCTGTATCTACCGAAAATAAATGTAAAACAATATATTCCTGGTAACTTACTTTATTCCCTAGAGTCACACCAGTTGGTGACTTTTATTTTGTTTAATATTATTGTTATCTCCTTGGCGCCGTGCACATTTGCGCTTATCGCCTTCTTTTTACAAATTACAAAACTAGATTTATCATTGTTGGCTACAAAGATAGACATAAATTCTTTCAGTATTATATTAGTAAACAAACACGACCGACCACGTGTCCCTGTCAGTCCTTGTTGTACGACTGTGCGGTTCAACAAAGAGCTTGAGGGGCTTTGTCAGGGAATAGGAATTAACGTACACAGTGTTGTCACTATGAGCTGTAGGCAGCCCTTTGACTGTAAGAATGCAATCATCTAGTAAAATTAATCAAATTCTGAGAAACGGACATGAACATTATATTGTAAATTGCGATATCATGTATACTGTAAGGTACTGAATACATATAAAATGTTATGTGGTTTATATTTTATCGTTCTAAAAAGTACATTAATGAATTCAATTGTAATGATGTATTTGTGATCTTTACTTCAGTTTTTAATTAACATTAAAATAACTTTTACATAATAGGTTCATTTTAGCGAATTTCCCATATAGGGAATAAGCTATTACCGTAGTACTCATGGTAAGACCTGGACGCGGGACCGATTTTTTTTTTCGTTTTGAGGTCCCTAGAGGCCAAAAACACCATCCGTTCAAATTCATATATATATATATATTTATATATTTATATATATATATATGTGTCCGTCAGCACGATAACTCGAGCAAAAATGATCCGATTTGGATGAAATTTGGTACAAACGTGTAAACGTACGTTTATTCGAACGAGTTCGCGATCCAGCATGATCGGACCATGGTAACGGGGGTTTACGGGGGGTTTTATGGGGTAAAAATAGGTTTTTCCTATTTTTGACCCAAAAAACATAAAATTTAGCAATTTCTTTCCAAACCATTTTGTAGAGCTTAAAAAAACAAATAATTTAGTATATTGAAGCGTTATTATGCGCCTAATAGTTACGGAGAAAATTCCAAAAAATTGTAAATTTAAAATTCCCATGTTATTCTTATGGAGAATAAGTAAACTGTTGTAGTTTGCTTGTTTGTGAACATATTTTGATCAAATTTGGAAAATGTTTTTATTTCTCACTACCTATTCACATTTTACAAAAAAAAGTTTTACCCTCCCTGATGCAGCAAACCTAAGTACTTGTTAAACTAATTCTATATTTAAATCAAGAATAAATGTTATATTTTTAAGTAGACATTTCAGTGTAAATCCAATCAGTCAAATGGAAATTCGCTTAGTCTGCAGGTTTGCTGCGGCGGGGGGTATTGTTTCTTTGAATAAATTTTTCTCTAATTGGATAGTTAGGCTATACAACATCTCGTGTGTAGTGAAATAGTATCCAGGAAGTGTGTCAGAGTAGAGTACGATGGTAATGTCTTTGCTAGTTTCGTTATATGGGGAGGGGGATGGAGAATAAGTGTACAAATAGGGGCGCATGGGAAATACTTGCATTGGGGTGCAGACAGTAAGACCATAGATTAAACATACTCCTTGAGGAGTATGTTTAATCTATGGTAAGACAGACTGCTTACTACACTGCCCATAGAAGAGGTTTTGAAGCATATAAGTTAACCATTGACTATACCTACAGATATAACTAACTAAATAAAAAAGAGTGCAATTATAAACTTATTATAGGCCTAGTTTTGGAGTATTTTAGGGATAAGAGTTATCATAGATAGCCAACAAATAGATAAGGGGGGGGGGCACAGAGCATTGGGGGACCCCTTTCCTCCCTGTGGATCGAACCACCTCTGGGCACAACACACCAACACCCCTGATAGCAAAACTGTTCATGTTATGTTTAAAATAAAAATAAAATAAATAGCTTGTGGATAAGCATTTCAAACATAACAATTGATAATGCAACACTAATTGCCTTTTACGTTTTACAAATTGAAAGATTTTTACCTTATTTTCATATTCTTTTTGAGCAGCCATTTCTTCAAAAAATATCAACAGCGCGTCTAGGATATTATTAAGTAGTAAATAATATCATATTTTGACATTATAATTAAAGATTTTCATATACATAATTTTACGTTTTAAGCTGCTCTTATAAAACCACACACTAAAAAACTCTTATATCATAAAAGTTGTATTATAAACGTTTTTATTGTTTTTTAAAACAGGTGATACACGCAATAACTTCATAACATATTGTAAAAAGACTAACTAATCATACAACATATCAACATTGTTAGCGTGGATTATTAAACTATTTTATATCGTCAAATGTTGAAAACGAAAAGGCATTGAATTTATCATTTTTTATCATAGTGTCCAACAAACTGAGTTTTAAGTTAGGCTAGGATTTTATTACTGTAATTAATTTTCATATATTTCATGTTCACTATTTTGATATGTTTTTTTTACCATATTCCATCTGTGATAATGTTAGTAATTTTGTCCCTCTATGTTCATTGTACACCTGTGATAACCATTAGCCTTTTTAAGAAAGACCCACTATAATTCATAATTTAAGTTTGTTAAGTTTGCCTATTTTTTAAAAATGATTTTAAACCTGTTAAATGTTCAATAAGGGCAGCCTATATTTTGGAATTTTCATGTCAAATTTTAATAATTATAAGTATCGTATCTTATATCTTTTACAATAATAATGACGATGTCAATTACAATAATGTATTGTTTAAAGACTGAATAAATGACTATTCAATGACTATTACTTAAACTAATAGTTCAGTGTTTTATTATATTTTCATGGCCATTTTTGACATACATACTATATAACGTTTATAAAACGAACTTTCAATTTTATCTGTTGGCAAACATGTAATATTGAAGTATTGAGTAGCCTAGCCAGGCAGAGGCAGACAAGAAACAAGAGGAAGACAGGTTCTAAACAAAATATCACATCACGTTCATGTAGGCCGTGGCGTAAGTTAGATAGTGTTAAAATGTTAAGTATTTTCAACAAATAAATTAAATTAATAAAACTAGAAATGGCTAGCTCGTTGGAAAGTAAAATAATAGATTTACAAGCTCGTTTGCAGCGAGAAAATGAAGCTAACGATAAGGATCCAATTTCTCATGACATTGGAGGAGGATTTGGAAGTCCCAGACCTGGATCTGGAAAAAGGCCCCAAAAGTGTAAGTACTGTAACCTTTGCATTTACTTGAGTTGACATAATATATTAATTTGATGGTTTCATAATCTCTTGTGAAGTTTTGATTGGATAAGGACAATTTAGGCATATTACATTTGATCATTTGAATGAATAAGTTAAGTTCTTTTATGACTAGCCTACTCAACTCCTGGAGTGACAAGTATTAAGTTATGTCTTTTCACTAAGCTTCGATTGGGATAAGTATCCTTCTGTCAGAATATTTAAGTAAAATCCATTTCCAATTTTAATCATAAAACATTTCTGGTCAGTTTGATATTGGCTTCTTAGTGTTGATGACATAGCCTTAGGCCTAAGCCCATAACTTACCTAAGCCTATTAGGCTACCTACCTAACTTAACCCTTCCTGTGCGTTTGCCGTACGGTATACAAAAATCAACAACGCTATTCAATTGTGAGCGTTGGCTGTATTCATACGCAACTCTTAAACTGAAGGTTACATGCGTACAATGCATAACTTAAGTTAATAATAGGCTACTTTATGTATTCGTCAAAAACATGTAAACATAAACGTTAGGCCTAAGTAGTTAGTTGTCTCTTGGCCATCAACAGTTACCTTAGGTCATTAATCAATACTAGTGCACCTGTTGCTCGAATTTGAGCAATTGCTAAGTATTAGACATAAGACATAAGACCAATTTATTTCCTGTAAAACTTACAATATACAAGTCATTGGAAAACGTCAAATTCTACATTATAAAATACATTATAAAATATACATAAGATCTATGAATAAAAGAAATTCCTTCAACATCATATAATAAAAAGGAAATGCATACATAGTGTATGCATTATCTCAATTACAGGCGGTATTTCAAAACTAATACCGTAACAGTCATAATTTCCGATGGGTTAAAAAAGTCTACTCAAAGGTAATGTTATAAATCACTCCACTCCAGTTATTGATACTAAAAACTAACTTAACTCACTCTGAAAACGAACACTTTTGTGTGTAGTTGTGTATGTGTTCATAAACGTATTATGAACAGCTGCAATTAAGTTATACAAATTATTCGTCTGTTTAAGTAAACAAAATCTTTCCTTCATAAGAAATACTTTGGGATTTTGATGGCCTGTGGGGCAAAGCCAGAGGACTTATTGCATGAATTGTTGATAGCCTAGGCGTGGTCTACACAACAATTACTTAATTATGACACCTCGTTTGTAAAAATCAGTCCATTATTAATGGAGGAGTAGTGTTTCGTAGAAATCGCCTTCACGTAGGGTATTATGTATAAGGATTATTATTGCGATAACTTAACTTATTTTTTGTGGTAAATTTTTGATTGGTTGGTTGGCCACTGATCTTGTAAGTTAACATCAGGTTGTTTAAAAAACTGACCGACTAAGTCATCCTCATGTCATTGTTTCGCGCAGTCTGTTTACGTGTTCTTGAGTGAATTAAATCCAGTAAGATAAGATTAGTGGAATATTCAGTGCATTATAACTTAGGTAAGTTAGGTACTTACCTATTTTTTGTAATTGTTTTAATTGAACATTAAGTTTAGATTAAATTAACCTAAACAATTTTTATTTATAGTTTTAGGATTAAGTCTGTTTTGTCTTATTGGCCATACAGTAAGTAATAAAGAAGTCGTAAGTTATTGTTCTCATAATGATATTTAGCGAATTTCCCTAAGTTAAATATAGGGCTAACTTAGTAAGTAGGCTAACTTACTACCTATTACCGTAGGTGGGACAGTAATTATACCTGGTCCCGGGACCGATATAACTTAAGCTAGGTAAGTTAGGCCTAGTTTTTCATTTTTATGACTCTAGGTGCCAAAAACCCTATTGTTTTAATTATTATATGTTATGTATCGGCCTATCTTATAGGCAAGGATAGATCTATACGTAGGTTGTCCAGCTTAAGACAACCTAGTTTGTCCATAGACTAGGACAACCTTTACCAGATTATTCGGGAGGTCAAAACAAGCAAAAAATGCCTTAGTGGGTTACATGCATTTTTGTAATTAATAAGATGATAAGTACATTTTGAGTTTAAATGTAATTATTTTAATTGAGCTTTACACCTTTTTAATTTTAAATTACAATTCTTGCTTGCTTTCGTTTGGACACAGTTTGTTTGCTTTGATAAGGTAGGCCTACAGGCCATGGACTTATATCCAGATAAATTAGGCCTATCTTAATCCCTTAAACAAAAATAAGAAACATAATGTACGATTGTGTTTTTTTTTGTTTCTGTGACTATTCATGTACATGAGGCCTACAGCTTGAATAAAGATGATTTGATTTGACATTACAGTGGGCGAGATGAGTACACCAAGAAGGGCTAAACCAATAGACCTGCCAGTTATGTTCCCCCAACCTAAACAACAAGACGCTCAAGAGATAGATAACAAAATGAAAGAAATCATCAAGCTCAGCGGTGTGCTCTGTATTGACGGAAAGGTAAAGGATTAAGGGGATTCCCTATGAAAAATGACCTAAATGTAATTTTTTTCAAAATTTATTGTTCTATAGATTATTGTTCTATGGTATGTCCTCTTACAGAAAAACCATAAAACAATGGTCAACAGGTTTTGTATATGAACAACAATAGATTATAGGAGGCTCTGCATGCCTTTGTCCCAATGGCAAGGAGCCTAGCCAGGTTTCCCTTTAAGCCTAAGCCAGCCTGTTTCCCGCAAGTTTGATTTTTCCGTGTTTTTTAATACTAAAATTAATATAGGCTATCTCAAAAAGTACTTACAGTACGGTACAAGGTTGAAAATTTTGCCCAATATTCCTTATTAGTATCAGGGTGATTGGTACTCAGCGTGACAAAAGTTTTTTGGTTTAACTACAAAGTAAATGAAGTGTGATGATGCATATAAGATTTCAAGTCTAAAATTGGCCCAAAGAAATATTTTAAGTTGATAAAAAAACATGTTTTTAAACTTAATACACCAATTTCTCAATTATCTACCTGTAAAAGGATTTGAGTAGATAATGCCATTTTCGTGTCCTACATTAAATTTTGTACAAGATAGAAAACGACGGAGGATCAATAGTAAAAACTCCATTGTAAATAGATCCAAAGATAAAAAATAAGGTGTTAGATAAACATTTAAAAAAAACATTGGTCTATTGAATTTTTCTTCACCCTGTATGTATACAAGAAGCCAAATACAGTAGAGTCCCGCAAACTCAGCACTTGATAACCCGGCAGTCTGGATAACTCGGCCATCACCTGGCTCAGAAAATTAGTGATTTTTTCAGACCGAGTTAAACACGGACACAAGTCAGCTCTAGTATAATCATTTGTAACTCGTACTAAGGATTTGTTGTACTATATCCAATGACTTAATACTGACTTGTAATATAAATATAATTAAAAAAGGCGGTTAAAAAGCTTAAAAATTGTATTGTTCTTATTTTTACTCTAGTTACCCATAACCCGGCATATCACAAACTTGGCACCCTTCCAGTCCACATTACGCCGAGTTTGAGGGACTCTACTGTATGTTAAAAACTGTGCCGTTTCATAATCTTTCCAACCATATGCTACATAAGATTGAAGCTCACTTTACAGTCCATATAAATACCATTGAAGTAGAAAACCGCCAAAATTAAAAATAACGATAGCCCTATAGTAGCCTAAGTAAGTCCCCTAAGTATTCCAGTATCCTATAAATAAACTGAACAGCAGATTTTCATAGTTTCAAAATCCATTGAATATATTAAGGCACCCAAATGAGACATTAATCATAAAAACCTAATTTATTTTTCAGAAATATCATTCTGAAATCAGAGACCTTGAAGATCTCGGGGAACTTGGCAACGGAACTTGCGGCCACGTTGTCAAAATGCTTCACAAACCTAGCCAAAAAGTTATAGCAGTTAAGGTAAGTCTTGAGTAGGCCTAGTTTTTCTCATATTTTTTAAGCTTGAGTTAAGATATAATTAAATGATTTGATGTAACAAAATTGTTTGTTCTGCTACAATCAGTTTTGTACAAGTCAGCCAACAATACATTTATGCAGGAGCCCTTTAAAACATATTTTAAAATTTTCTTTGAGCACCGTAAGCTTGTTAGGTACTGTGGATTATGGGATGGCTTTATGAACCTGCTCATTCGTAAGGGATGTTTTATTGATCCATCGATAAAGGTCAATGAGATAAAAACTTGATAGGAAATCATATATTTTCACCCACTTTAATGCATATTAGGCTTATTTTAGAGATTCCTCACACCCAAGCATTAAATTAATTTTGAAACAGTCCTTCAGAAAATTACTATAAATATGCTACTACTAAATATGTCAACAGCAAATGAGGCGTTCAGGCAACAGTGAGGAGAACAAACGTATCATCATGGACCTGGACGTTGTGCTCAAGTCGGAATGTCCGTACATCGTGCAATGCCTCGGCTGTTTCATCACAGAAGCCGATGTGTGGATCTGTATGGAACTGATGGCTACTTGTTTCGACAAACTGCTCAAGCGACTCAGGTCGCCCATACCCGAACAAGTGCTCGGCAGGATTACATTGGCTGTGAGTTAATTTGGCATGTTTATTATAATTTTGGAAATTTATGGGAAGTAAGACATATTTTAGTCTTGTAATGGTCGTAGTGTGTCTCAGTGTCCCCAATAAAGTCGATTTAATGAAAATACGTGCATTTTAATAAAAGTAGAGATTCAAGCACGGTACTTGTAGGTTTTATAAAAAGGCCTAATTGTAAACTATCCACTTACATTGTAAAGTAAAGGAAACGATTTTAGACCCTCCTATATTGCAAATTTGATTTAAAATACTGCCTTAGGATATGAGGCCTTTTAAAGTTACATAACGTTTAGAGTCTAAGGCTCAGAGGTGAAATAGAAATTAACTAAAAATTTTGAGAGATGTTAAATGTTGAATATAAGTAGACTACTCATTCCGTGATCATTTTTTAGGCTACTGCAATTTTATAATGCTGTTAGTAAAAATTTATAACCTGGACCTGGTATTTTGATGTTATATTTCATGGAATATATTTGGGCAGGCCTACATCGTTATTGAAATAGATTGCAAAACCGTCACAGCAATTTTGTGTGTTGCTTCCCAGTGTCGCCACTTTTAAAACTTTTTTTATACCGTTCTGGTTCATCCCTTGCCTTGCTCATGTTCCACCCAGAGGCCTGTGACAAAAGTGATAAAAAACAAAATTGAAACTAACCTCAAACTTTTAAACAAAGAAATTACAGTACTACATTTAGCTTAGTCACTCAATAGTTTGAAACTGAAATAATAATCAAAAATCGTGTTAGATAACAACAGTTTTCTTCATACTGTGTTGTTTATCGTGTTTCACTTTATGTTCAAACTAAACTTTTAGAACAATAGTTTTGCTTATATTTTGCATTTTGATTTGCATATACCTGTTTACTTGACAGACTGTGAAGGCTCTACACTACCTGAAGGAGAACCACGACGTAATCCACAGAGATGTCAAGCCTTCCAACATCCTGGTGGACGAGAAGGGCAACGTGAAACTGTGTGACTTTGGCATCTCGGGAAGACTTGTAGATTCCAAAGCCAAGACCAAGAACGCTGGATGTGCTGCTTATATGGCGGTAAGTCGTTTGAGGTTTATTGTGGTTACTGAGCGAGTTGAGAGGTCAGTCCAGTAGAAAAGTTAGGTGCTGGCATTGCCGTTGCGTTGATTAAGCTGGATTGCCAGTGTCACAACTTTTTATTTCAAAGCAGGGAGGAGTAGCAATTCTAGTTTAAAACCCGTTTCGCACTGAGTTGGCTAGGCGTCCTTTAGAAATTAAGGCTAGTATATCTTTATCCTCAGTAAGATTTATTTGGGGGCGATTGATTCCGAGTTGGGATCAGTTTTTAATGATCGTTTTTCAAAATACTTCGATACTTTGATTTCATTCAATTAAAATTAGCCTGTTGTGATCCAAACGGCAGTTTTGTTACATGTTTAATTCAATTCAAATTAGCTTGTCTTGATGTAAATGGCAGTTTTGTTACATAATCATAAACTAGGATGCTCATATAGCTGGCTTATGGTGTTTTTTTCTGTAAACATTCCCACAGAACATTTTATAAGCTTTGTGGTACAAGTACACTTCTTTTTGGGGAACAGTAGAACCACGCCAATCTGATCTTGGCTAGTCTGATTCCTTGCTTAAACCGACTTTCCATTGTCTATTAATTGATTACAATGTTGTAGCAGTAGGAAATATCCTGACCATTTCCTGTGGTCGTACGTGTGGACATCATCACCGTCTTCTGCAATAGCAGCTGAAATCCCGTTTTAATCCCCTGTGATATTGGAATCCTTATAATTAATTTCCCTGATCGTGTAGAACCCTATATATGATCAATAACGCCAATAACGGAAACATCAACAGCATCTTCCGTGATCATGGTAAAATGAAAATATTAAAAGTCTCCCGCGGTCACAGGGACATAAACATAATCATCATTCCCTCGATCATGGCAAAATATTGAACATCTCTTGCGGTCATGGAAAACATGGTCATCTTCGACAATTGTGGGAAAATCCTGAACTCACTGTTCTTTGGATAATCCTTCGTTTTTACTGTTCCAGCCACGGGCTTGATAGGCCTACTGTAGGTGACGGATTAGCGGAGTTTTACCTTATGCCTACCATGTTTGTAATTTATAGAAGTAAGGTGAAAACAGTAGGGATAGGCTTTCCAGATTTATAAAGATTATTAGTGACACATAGTTTTAGTAACTTAAACTTTTTTGGTGGTTTAGTTAAATTTGTTTTTCTCTAAACTATCAAACAAACATGCTGAAATGTGTTACAGCCGGAGAGGATAGACCCGCCAGACCCCCGGCGGCCGGCGTACGACATCCGTGCGGACGTTTGGAGCCTCGGCATCACACTGGTGGAGATGGCCACAGGGGTGTTTCCGTACAAGGACTGCAAGTGTGACTTTGAGGTGCTAAGTAAGGTGATGCAGGACGATCCTCCAGCTTTGCCCACTGACCAAGGCTTCACTCAGGACTTCCAGAGCTTTGTCAAGTGGTGGTGAGTGTCTCTACGACCTTTGACTATGGTCCCTTAGACATTCTGTTGCCTTTTAACAAAACAACATCTTCCGCTAAAAGATAAGCTGGGTAGCTGAGTGGTTTTGAAACTCACCTGGTAATGAAAAAGTTGTTGGTTGGATACTGAGATGATTGAGCAGCTTTTTGATGGTTTTAAACTGTATCCAGCTGTCATCAGCTGTGTGTTATCAGCTGTGATCAGTGGTCTTTGAAAACATATTAACAAGGTCCTCCTCGGTAATGGAACAGCTGGCATCAGTCAGCTACAAAGCTCACACATTCCTATTCCATTCTATACTCATCCTTGACTCATATTTGGTTTAAAATACATGACCATTGAAAAAACATTCCAAATAGAGATTAGTGTAACATTCAACTTTAACTTGTTCTGTTGCAGCTTAACGAAGAACTACAAAAACAGGCCAAAGTACAGAGACTTGTTGGACCACCCGTTCCTCAAGTTGTATGAGAGAGAGAGCGTCAACGTAGCCTCATGGTTCGGCCTCACGCTGAGTCAGATAGAACCTCCGGCTGCTGTCACCCCTATACCTACCCCTCTACCTGTGGCTGTCCCTGTGCCTGCCACTGTACCAGCTGCCGTACCTGTGTCCATGGTGCAGAGGTAAGTTGAGGGATACACACAAGCTTACTTAAAAAACGACAAAAGAAATATGAACAAATAGTGATAGCCTCTGGACACAGATAAATAAATCAATTTCGGGTCTTTCTATGTTATCCCTTAGGGAAGTAGGTACTACCTTAAAAAAATCAATGCTCCCGCCAAATACGAATTTTCAAGTTAGCGTGATTGCAAATCTCTTGTATTTGTGGCAATCATATAAGACATCGATGACTTTTCATTAGCTGCGGGAGACTGTGATTATGTCCACACATTCGTGGGAGATAAATAGCATTTTATTGCGATTGCGGGAAGATGTTCAGACGATGGTGGAAGATATTTATTTCTTTGCAATTATGGAAGACAATGATAATATTCCGTGCCTGTGGGAGTTGTATGAGGGAGTTGTATGTTGATAATGTCTACTTGCCCATAGGAGATGACCAAAATGCTGCTGTGATAGCTGAAGATAATAATGTTTGCACAACCCCGGTAGATATTCATTTGTTTTCAAACATGAAGAACGATGATGATTTTCCCGACCGTGTGTGGTATTTAGGGTATTGCTGCAATCGGGGGAGGTGATTATACTGTTTCCGTGACCGATACAGATATTTAGGATTTTACAGCAATTACGGACGACGTAGATATGTCTTCACGACTACGGGAGATAGGCTAATCCTAATTTTACTGTTGAACTGAGCTTGATCGATAATCTTAGGCGGCACACTTCGTCTACTTAGTGACTATAGTTCGGCCGCTTAGAAAACGACCTGCGCGCTAATGCTAAACCAATGCTGGAGGAGGTTGCTTTCTAAGCGGCCGAACTATAGTAAATGGTTTTAGGCCCAGGAAAGTAAGGTAGACAAAAGGTTAGGTTCCATCATACAATCAATGCATATTGAAAATTAGGTAAAATTTCAAGCAATGGTATCACGCTATCGAGAATAGATTTTTAGGTACATTGGTATCAAGAATTGATAAATTTTGGTATCAACTCGTTACTAGTTGAAATTAATTACTTTGGTAAGATTTGTTGGACACAGTTTTTAGATTAACAGCTTTTACTTCATGTACTTCCCTAAAGCAAACGTTTCGCTTCCAGGTTTACGCCACCTCCCCCCTCGCCATCCACTCGAAGACACGCCCCTCTGCCTCTACAACACCACCGGTCGCTGTCGGAAACCTGCTCGTACCAAAGTAACGGAGAGCTGCCCAGCGGACGGTATTCTCCCTTCAGAATGGGCGATCCACCTCCTATCTCCCCTCGCTACCAAAACACAGCTCCTGAGTGGGACAGGAGTAGGATGTACAGGTAGGATTGGTCGTCTAAAATAGGGGTGTAGATATTTCTGAAGTTGTATGTTTTGAATATGAGTAGAACTAGTCCCATGTCAAAGTTTTAGAATAATGGACGAGTTAAATAAGCCGCAGACAGAGAGTGTCAAAGTAATTTAAAACCAATTTCTGTCGAATATGGTAATTCTTTATTTAATCAATATTAAAAGGTCTTCTTTTTGTAAAGTATAGTATCTTCATGTTACAGAAACTATCACTGGAATTATAGAGGAAGAAAATCGTCTGTAGCACACCCTCTTAAGTGGCTTATTTACTAAAAAAAAAAAAAAAAAAAAATGGTAACAGCCGGTTCATATCTTGTTTGCTTTTGGTTGTCTACTTTATTACTTGAAAGGCAATGGTGTCAGGTATTGTTAGGGATGGATGTAATTGTATTTATAGTTTACAACTTTACTTTACTTTTATTACTTTTATTTCTTTCACAAATTTCAGGACATGATTTTTCTCTCTGGCCAAAAAGGAGTGTTAAAAATGTTGGGTAAACATTCTTGCAGATGGTAATAATGTCAAACAAAATAAATTTGCAGTTTTTATGGCACTGGTCTATAAAATCTAATGCTAATGTTAGGTAAAAGTAACAAAAACAGAAAGGTTTTGTAGGTAACAAAAACTGCATATTTAAACCTAGTGTTTGTCTTTTACTTAATCTTTCTTGGCTAAGTTTAACTTTGCAAAGGGATATCTTGAACCTTAAAATATACTTTGAAATAAGCCTAGGCCTTTGTAAATAAGTTTTATGCTGGTATATTGTGTTGAAAAATAAACGCTTAATTTACCTACAGCTGACTGAACAGTGAAAATAGTTTCTCACGTTGGCTAGGGGGAAAACCACCACTGCTTAAAAAATAGGTGTAAAATTTAGGTACTCCCTACAATTTAAAATTCAGTCATAATATATTGTCTTGTTGTGTTTTGTTACAGTGGAATCATGCCTTCGCCCATCCCCACCAGGAAGAGGTTCCAGGACCCTTTGCCTGGCAACACTAGTCCCCTGATGCTGCAGAGATTCCACCATCAGCAGAGTCAGCACAACAGGTCAGTGGGCTGGCAAACAGAGGGTGGGTTCGAGGGGTTCATTGAAAAAGTGTAAGGAAAACTGTACTTTAATCGTAGGGTTAGGTTAGGTTAGGTTAGGTTAGAGAAACGTGGTAAATTCCCTTGGGGCTCTGCCCCAGCGGCCTTTAAATTCCCATCCCATGTTATTCTTATGGAGGAAAAACGGGTTTTTGTCACAGCTAATTTCAGAGAATGGCTGGGTGTAGAAACTTGGTAGGGGTCTCTAAAGAAAAGTCTTGGTCTGTAGATGAGCCATCAAAAAAGAAACAAGGTAAATTCCCTTGGGGCTCTGCCCCAGAGGCCTTTGAAGTTCCCTCTTCAGATTTGTTTACATTACGACCATATGCATAAATTTTCACTACTCTTTCTTTAATGAAACAGTTGTTAATATTTAAATTGTGATTTACTGAATCTGTCAAAATGAAGTATTTGCAATGATTTTTTCAGATTTTAAAATGAGTTTCTTTTGCATCGTGTCATGTTTTGCAATACTGTATAATGTTCTATTACCAAATCGGTGGAAAATATCACAGTAACTCTTAAGATTATTTCTTATGAAGTTAAGTTATATCTATTGTATGGGTTGGTTTCTGAATTTGTTACCACTTCTTGGAGATTGTACTTAGGCGTGTCGTACGTAGATGATATTCTTTAACGTATTGTATCAGTAGACGATACTTGGGTTGGTGTAATTATTACAATGGAAAAAAGCGAGAAATTCTGGACAATTTGATATACTAAAAATAAAACTGAATTAACACTGTAGCCTACTACATTTCTTGAGCAATCATTGGAAGAGCCGATTTGCAAATAATGGAAACATACAAAAGTCATAGAACACAACCAAGTAGAAGAAATAAAAATAATGTTTTTTTTTCATTTATAATCGTTATTACAGACAACCTAATGCGGGCTATGCGGCTATGAGTGGAAAACATTTGTAGAAAACACTAAAAAACAATATCAACTTTTAAAAAAAGATAAGATATTTACAAAAAAATTTGATTAGCCTATGTCTAAATGTACACATAGTGAGTATTTCCATATTCTTTGAGTCCACTCTTATAAAGTCATCTGAAATTATGACTGTTATTCCTTTTAAAATAACGCCTGAAATGCTTCGCAATTGCTTGAATTCGAGCAACAGGTACACTAGTTTTAACATGATTTTGTAAAATTTTAAAATAGGTACCTACTGATTTATGGCAGATGACTACAGAAGTAGTAATAATGGGCTAGAAACATAAAAAAAACATTAGTAGGCCTATAAAACAAATTTTTTTAATTAGGCCTACCTTATTAAAGATTACTCTTCCACATAGGGAACAAGGTGATATCAGTTAGGAGATAGTTCAACTTTGAACAATACAAAATTTATCAGTCTGCACCATCAGTCTTACTATAGTTCTTGCCAACCTAACTTGAGGCAGCCTAAGGCCGCACGTCGTATATCTAGTGCTGCCTTGGGCTGCCTCAAGTTAGGGTGTCGAGGACCATAGTTCAGTAGATATCACGTAACAATTTTTATCTAATTATGATTAAAAAACATTTTAAAATGCAAGGTGAGTTTTTGGGTAGCAGAATTTCGCAACAATTTTGTTAATAGTCTTTTTTTACATTTTATGATATAATACAGTTGGTTATCCTGAGTTTAAAAGATTTTAGTTTTGTAAAATAAGATATTATTATATTCATTTCAAAAATTTTGATTTTAAAATATTAGCTTTGATTTTTGTGATTCTCCTGCTGTAATTCGTTTTGCAATTGGCTTTTTAGCATCAAGTCTAATCTAAATGAACAAATTTTTCCGTCAAAATTGAGCTGATTCCTTAGATATAAAGTGATAACAGATCACATTATGTCTTGCTTTGTGTTAAATATCTATCCCATTATAATTTTTATAAAATAACGTGAGATGCAAAGTTTTTGTAAAAAAAAAAAACAAATGGTTGATATATTTATTTAAATTAGGTTTTATTTCATCCCATGTTTACTGTGTTTTCTCCCCTGTAATATTACTATATCCTGATGTTCTGTCCAAAATATGTACATTAGTTTGCCAAATATTGAGTCGTCTAATCCAAAATTATACAACTAAAATGCAATGTTTTTTGCAGGTCGACGTCGGTGTCACCATGCAGGCAATACACCTCGGAGACTGTTAAGTTGGAGGACTCTGGCAACAAGAAGCGGTACTCTTCCTTCGTCAAGCTCCAGGTGGGGGGAAGCCTACCTCCCCCTCACAGCCCCGAGCCCCCGCCTCGCCACAACCGTATGACCTCACCACTGCTCAGGAGGAACTTCATAGAAACCTCGTCACCGTCTCCGGCCCGCAGGACCTTCCAGGAGAGCAGTCAGTCACCACTGCTGTCTCGGAGGTTAGTTGTAAAAGATTGTTTACATAGAAATTCTAAGGGATTTAATATTTTGAGAAAGTTTGATACTTTTGAACTATTTGGACTATTCGGTATTTAATTAGGCCATTCTTAAATATTTTCATCCTTTTTTATGTTTTTTTTGCTATCCCCTAAGCAGAGAACCTAATTTCAGCTTGGATATGCTGTAACAACTATAATTTTTTTCCTTCCTGCAGTTAATTTATTCTTGGTATGGACGGGTCTTAAATTTTTAAGAAATTTGAGAGATAAAAAAATCTTCTTGGTTCGAGCAAGATTGCCTTTGTTCGAAGACTTTTTAAAGACGAGAAAAAAAAAAAATAGAAAGCCTTCGAAAAGGAACCACAACTACAACATGCCCCTGTATTGCGGGTATTGCAGAGGCTTTCTAAAGGCTTTTTTAAACTGTGTCCACTTCAGAAATCGGTAAAATCACTTTATCCAGTTATTTTTTTATCTGTTATGACTCTGGTACAGTCTGTACTGGTTATAATAGCCTGAACTGTATATGAAATCATCACCAAGATCTTCCTACTACAATTTCCTTTCCTCAATTATAGACTATTTTTGTTGTGATACAGTTAGTTGTTTTTTCTTATTTAATTGATGTCTATTTGCTTTTATTATTTTGTACACTCTTTTTGTATCAACTTTTGTAATAAATAATTAGTTATTGTACTCTAGCTGTTGTTTTAATAGTGATTTACTGTTATTTATTAACCATTAATACTTTTTTTAAATACTTTTTCATTGAAATGGGGACCATACAAAGTAGGTATTTTAAGCCAAGTATGAATGGAGATGAGTGTAGGATGAGTGGCGCAATATTGTTAAACTGCGCAAACGAATAATTATTCCCCATAGTAATGAGATGTATAATCTCGTCTCGAATCATGATCAGGAAAAAGAATCTTGTCTCGAACTTAAAATACAGTCTCGTCCATCACTTCTTGGTACTGAATTTTTTTGGTTGTAGTTTTAATTGACAGGGACCAACATTTTTTGGATTCACGCATCCATGTACGACACAGGTGAAGCTAGTAGTTGTATTATATTTGATTATTTTTTCTCTTTATCTTGAAGAGCAGATCAGCATCTGAGTGTAATCTGAGGGAAGAACACTGTAATACTGAGATGGTGAAGTTAATTCTCATGCATTACTAGACTATCACAATCACAGTGAAATTGAGGGCATATTTTGCTTTTGGGAAGACATCAATATCCTCGTCTGCAATCTCGAAAAAACCTTGAATATGTACCGAGGACATCATCATCATCTTCCACGATCATGAAAACATCATCATTATTTCCACGAGCGCTTGAGTTTTTTGCAAACATCGTCACATTGTCTCCTGTGATTGCGGCAAACCCTTATACATTCCTTGCGATGCGTGGACGTTGCAATCATGAAAGAGCTATTGCACAATGACTAAGAAACCGAAATTATATTTTTTCACGGATACTGGGTTTTGAATTTTTTTGCTGGTAAAACAGATAACCGATTTTAAATCTGACCCATACCTAACAATAATATTCCTTATTACTTAGCCATGAAAATCTTAAAAACTGTGATGCAGTGAATTTAGTAAGTTGTGACAAATACCTAGATTGATGTTTAAATCTTAAAAATTAGGACAAGCCAATTCTGATTCTTGATACTTGGTGACTTTGTTACTCCCGGTTCCAGGACCTCCCAAGTTTGCGTTGTGTGTGAGTCATCGTGATCTTTTAACATGATCACACCAAGTACAGCTTCCAATACAGTACTCGGCTAAGATGAATTTTCAATCACACCAAAAATTTTAGAAAAAAATGAAGCTCGGCATAGCTTAAAAATTGAGTTCCCACAATCCCACCTGTATCTGACTTAATACCCTCGACTCGTATCTAATTAAAAAATATACAAATATGACTGTGAAAACCTGTGAATGAAACATGAATAAAGGGAACCTCCGCTCTTGAGTGTAGATTAAAGCAAAATTAGTAGAATGCAAATACTATGAGAAAAAATTGCATTACTGTATTGTTTGCAGGCATGTATCACCAGCACCCCCGCAGCCCCCACCTCGTAGACTATCAGACTGCAACTCCGTACCAGGGTCACCCCGTCGCCCCGCCAGGTTCCAACACACACCCGAGCCACAGCGCAGGTACTTGCACGACCTCTAACATCGCTACCACTCTAGCTGTAATTTTACAGATTCACTAAGTTCCTCGGTCCATTTGACCATTCTGTCAGAAATTTCGTTAATTTTAGATTTTTTAAACTTGACATGTTTTTGGTTGGATTTTGTAGGTCAACTTGCATAAGATGTTATTTGAAAGCTTATTGCGGATGTTTTCCGTTCAATCAAAGCACATAATTTTGTAATAGAAAATGTCAGCAATAAACTTTGAAATAATGTTAAGTATGACCAAAAATGAACCTCGAACAAGGAATTGCCCGAGATGTATGTCCTTTAGTAGATCCTTTTTTTGCCCTTGAGTATCACTTAAAAAAGATCCCGACACTACTTGAAAGTAACATTACAATTTTGGGTAAAAAAGGAAAGCTAAAAAATTACACTCTGGAGGAAACCTCAGTTTATTAAATACAATTTTTTGCACTATATCTTAAGATTTAACTTCTAAGAAGAAGAAATTATTTCTTTAAATGCTATAGCCCCAATAGTTTATGATATTAATATATATAAGAAGATGTTATCACTCTTTAAGATTGTGTGAAGGATTATAAGCTAGTTGTAATATATGCTGAAGGAGAAGTCTCAAAGATTTAGTTTGTTGTTAAAATCCATGGAAAACAGTTTCATAACAGCTTTGTGTATCAGTTTTTGGGTTTAATGTCATCAATCGGAAAACACAATGAAAAACATAAACACTCTTAAATATTAGTTGCTAACTGTTGTAGAACTTATAGATTCAGATTTACATTTTATTTTGTTTTATTAGTGCAGTTGGAAAAATGGAAGGAACTTTTTGAATACTTGATAGAATTAATTAACCAACCTAGGCTACTTTCGTATCTATTATATTGTTGAAAATCAGTAAACAAAAAAAAACATTGTTTTAAAAATATATTAGTAAATTTAGGCCTATATCTAAATATTTTTGTACTTTGGTGAAAGGATTTAGAATTTGGATGATATTATATTTTTATTTAACAAGAATTCATTTATTCACTTCTAATATTTATCGGGTTATCATTTGGAAATTTTCCTGGAACAGGTTCCCTCATTGTAAAATAATCAGTGCATGTTGAAATTGTCACTTATTAATTTTTATAAAAATTTATTGGTTATAATATATTTGTTGGGGAAAGATGAACTTTAACTCTATAGAATTATTATTAGTTCAAGGCCAAAGGCTAAACAAATCATAAACTACTCGTATCTTTATCATTTTTTTCTTACATTGTATCAAGTATGCTTAGAAGATAATTTTTGTAAGATTTATTTTATATTTTTGTTTACCATTTTGTAATTTTGAATGTTTGTGTTGTATTTGTAATCATGTAACTGACACTAGTCCATTCATCCTAATTCATTGCACAATCATACTCATAGCAAACTGTCTGTAGAGGAAATAATAGATGTCTCATTACACATTTCACTTGCTTTTAGCTTTGGCCACTCTGTGATAGTTGGTAGTTTTGTGGCACTTTCAAGGTTTGCCCGATTTAATTTCACAAGATTCATAACTCGTAGCTAAGATAAGATAAAAAAACAATTTGATTTCTTCAACACATCCTAGACATCAAGCTCTTGGATTTAGTATTTAAAATATCAAAGATTTTTTTGACTTGATATTGGAATTATTTGAGTTTGGTTTTTACTTTTGAACTGTCTTTTTGCAATTTATAAGTCATTAGAAGAAGCTTCACAATTTTAGTCAACTTTGCTTTAGTTAAAGGATGTCTGCTTTTAAACATCTTTCAATTATAATCAAATTTTGCATGTTAAACTAACACTATTATTTCCTCGAGGCAGACCCTTCCTTTCCCACGGTTGATTGAATGTAGTTCGGTGGTGGGTTACAAATTTCTCAATGAACATTTCTCTAATCTGGCGCCGTTTTCTCTAGAGTGGTGCACAATCGTGAAGTGGTAAGTTCGTTCCTCGGTAGTGCCAAACAACTAGTAAACAAAGCGGTTTGGTACTCGCATCGTCTGGTGTCTGGCTCGTCGAGCCGCTCGGAAAAACATCAAACTCACCACGTAGCTCTCGGAAACTGAGTTGCCAACTTGCAACTCACAAGGGTATTCTTGGCATGAACCAACTATCAAAAACCTTTTCAAAAGACACAAATTAATCTACTTTGTTTTGCTGGTAGATTATGACAGAAATGTTGTTGTATTACATAAACCTAACAATAACTGATTGACTTGGAAATTGTGTAGATTTTTAACCATGCCAAAGCATCAAATAATTGGTGATCAAGAGTTCACACATATTTTTCAGAATCAAATTTCCTCTGGAATTGTCGTATATGATTGTAAACTATGCAACTCGAATTGATCATACTAAATCCTTGGTGAATGATCACTCAAAAAGGTTGTTGAGAATCAGTATTTTAAGTTTAACAAACCCCATCAAATATTGTTGCTCGTGGAATCATTTTGTTGTCAATATTACTTTTGACAGATTTGTTCACTTGTGTAATTGATTTTATGATTCCTTATCATATCCATTTTTCATTTTCCTTCATTACCCGATTTTTTGTATCCGATCAAAATTACACTTTGGACCCGCTTTTATCACCAAAGATTAAATCCATGGTCAGTTTTCAGTGGGTTTTCTTGTGCCATTGTGTTTGATGCAGACCAGTTTTGTAACAAACGTTTTTAGCATGTCCAAAGATTTGATTTACAACTGATCAGTATGTTTTACCACCTTTAGAGTTTAACAGTTTGTATCATTGTAAATAATCACTATCATTTTTGTGTGTATGTGTTGCAGTTATATTGGCCTTCAATTCAAAGTAAATATTTTTTCCCAGATAGTCCCTGAAACTTTATCAAAACTGTGTGTCAGAAGTTTTTTTATTATCTATCAACAAGTTGAATCCCAAATTGTTTACCTTATAAATGTATTAATATTTTTTGTTTTAAACTATATACTATATTATTTGTAGGTATAAACAATTTTACCATTAAAGATTTTATCAAAATATGTTTTCAATTTCAAATATTGTGGCTGAACGCAATTTTATGTGATAGTTAATTTTACATGTAATACAAAAGTTCAAACCATTTTTGTATATAATCATGGAAGATTTACTTATTAGGTTTCGATTAGTTTTATCGTGTACTTAACGCAATTTATATAATCTTAAATATAACCCTTTTTTTAAATCCCTCGCTATTCCAAAATAAATGGAGTGCATGTCGCAGGTTGATAAGAGATGGCTTTCGATGGTTTTTCAAAATTATATCGTTTTAAGTATGGTATTTTTCGCTTGTGAAACAAATTGCCTCTGCTGATATTATAGGTGTCATTATTCAGTTTTACCACAAAGAAGTAAGATACAGAGAATACACGCTTATGGGACAAGCGTGCGCTTTTAGCTCTGGTACGTTTTGGCGGAAATGTACAAGTATCGAGCAAGGAAGAGCACGAACGGTGATGGCCACATCATTTTTGTATAGCAGTTGTAGTGCACAAGGTCTTCCGAATGTATGAGCGCAGTACGTGATGGCGATAGGAGAGCGGATGAGAGTAGAATTTGCTCTAGACGCCAGCGACTGGTGCTAGACACCACTACGAATGTATCTGTTTCTTACTTCTCTGTGGTTTTACGCTTGTATTTATGTAATCACGTCTCTGTACAGTGCCTGATATAAAAGATGTAACTGTAATTACTTGTAACAAATTGGATTCTGTAAGTGCACTGAAAATGTCAATTTTAAGGTGTTTTTTAATTTTTCGATGGAAATTCAATCCCGGGCCAGTTTGTTGTAGTTTATCCTGAGATTGTAGGATTATGACATTTTCGGGGTTAAAAAGTATCCAAGCTATAATGAAATGAGTTTAACAAAATAATTTACACGATTTTCAAATAAAAATGATGATAATTTCACAGAAAACAGTAAAAAAAACCATCTAATTAATTTTTAAGTTACTTAAACATTAAAAAGTATATTAGATGGCTTAAGTTAATATAAAAAGGACTAAGGATCATATTTTCCTGAGTCTAACTTTAATATCAGAAAAATGATTATTATTGGCTTATATCGATGTCATCAATCCCTTCCCTATAACAGTATTTGCAATATTTGCATTCTGTTAAAAATCTTCCAATCAAATATGTACACAGCAATTTAAATGTACTTAGTGTAGTAGCTGTGTCTTAGTTAAAAAGGCAATCAATTGGAAATTTTAACAGTTAAAATAGCCTATTTAATTTTAAAAATAGCCGTTTGGAATTTTCTAAATTTTTTGGCAGTTTTCAAAACTTCTGTTTATTTGTATTTACATACTGTACATACTGTACTGACTGTGTTTTGTCATTTTTCTATTTTTTCCCTATAGGTAGTTTAAAAGTTATTTTTTATTTCAAAGAAAGGTAATTGGAAATAACTTTGATGATGGATAAAAAAAAGTATTTGTTCAATATAAAAGGTTATAAGGGGTTACAGTATAATATTTATGTTTATTTTGAATCATACTTATCGAGCGGTTTGTTTTTAAAATCCCAAAATCCCTGGGATGAAAAACTTGCCCTGGATTGAATTACTTAGTCACCAAACTTGATTGAAATATAATTGAATTCATGGTGATTCATAACGCCTGGGATAAAAACATTGATTTTATTTTTAGGATAAAAAACTGAAACTGTGGTATTTTGTTTGAAATTATTTTAGGAAATTTAATTTTTGGTACTGTAATTTTATGAGTAATTTTAATTTATACCAGTACAAGTCTAGTTTTTAATTGGTACAAGTAAAACTAATTTTTTCTAACACTTTTAGCAATATTTTTGATTTGGTTTTAACTCTATTTGGATTTTAGTAACCTTAAAGTAAGTCATTGATTAAGTTGTGTCTATTTAATTTCGATTGAACTGTAATGACCCTAATAATTTAACTTAATCAATTTATATTTTTACTATACATTTTAAATAGGGAAAGTAAAAGTTAAGTTCTTGAAGAATGCTGGTTTACTATGAATTGTATAAGGAATTGTTGAATATCTTTTAAAGTTGAAATCAAGTGGTTTTTTTAGTTTTCAAGCTGTGCCATTTCATTATATGTAGTTAGCGACTGAATGTAGTCAGTTACGGTTTTGACTGCTCATTGAAACGTTTTATTAGGTCTTCAGAAATGTGAGAAACTTTTTCACTAGTTTTGGATCTTTTCCATTACATGATTTCAAATTTATTTTTTTTTTCAAGAAAAATTGTAATAGTTACTTTGAATGTACTGTTCATTGATGTTTGGTAAATAGTTTTTCTAACTTTTTTTGTATGAAGCGAGAGATGTTACACAAATTTTTGAATGGAAGAACAAAAGGTAAAGTATTGTTTGTGCCATACTTCAGCAAAATCTTATTTTTTCAATACATGCCTTGCAGTGCTAAAGTCATTCTTTCCTCCTAAGGGCAAAACAAAATTAGCTTGAGTCGAGGACGTCTATTGTTGCTTGTGTCTAAAAGAGCCACTTCAGGCCCTAGTGATGAGATTATTTTGTTCCATAAGACATTTTGAGTACAAAACAATCATGTTTAATCATTGTTTAAAATTTTCCTATCTTTAACTTGACCATTTTTTCAAATAACCAATTCCAAACATAAATGTTTTAATCTGATTTTTTTAAATGAAGCATGTAATGGAAATAATTACCGATTTGCTCATGTCACAGAATTAGTTTATAAAATGTAGTTTGGAATAGTTTAAACATTTTATTTGTTGCATTTTAGAAAAAAAATAGCAAATAGTCACTTTTGCCTTATGCAGGTTTATGATAGAAAATAGCTTATTCCCTATGGGAAATTTGCTGTTGCCCTATGGGAAACAGATTTAAAACTGTTATTCACATTCACTGTAAAATTAAAATAATAAAATGCACAAATTTTAAAAATTTTGTATTAGATAAATTTTAATATCTTTAAAATAGAAAGTATAAAATTTTAGATTCATGTCACCACTTTTTCGAGCTTTGATATTTTTGTAGCAGCAATCCTAGGAACATAAATGTGAATTTTGTATAAGGCAAAATAGTGAAATTGTTTTGTATTTTGAATACACCTGAAAATCATTCAACTGGTTCATTTTGTAATAACGCAATTTTGTTTAGTTGTAAAAACATAAAATTGTAATTTCTTGATAATTTATTTTTAGTTGAAGATTAGGTTCTTGTTAATTTATTTACGTTGCTTATATTATATTTTTGTCTTGTATATATTTTCCATTTTATAAATTGTAAATATTGTACTGGGATGTACAGATTGATCTGCTTGATATTTGTACATAGCGAATAAACATTGTGATTTTGAACTCAGTAGTTTATTGAATTTAACCACACGCATTATGATTCTTAAGTTAAGTCTATGGCGTTAAGTCATTGAAGTTCAGATTTGTTTACTACCAATTAAGAAGAGTCACGAGAGGGCAATTGTTCCCCATTTCAACCTTTTTACTCATCGGAGTGCAAACTAAGAAGGAAATTAACAAACCAGAGGTTAACTTAGACTAAAACGTTTATTATGATAAATTATCCTAAAACTAAATGGATCCTGATATCTATACAAGCTCAGTCGTTTGTTGTTATATACAAGTGTGGCCTTGTCTGTCTGCAAGACAGAGAATGAGGTACTGTGACTTGTTGCATAGCTTCGGTCCTCACAGGCCGAGTTTCTTGAGCGTCTTCAGATCTAGGTCTCCGTAATAGTCCTCACTGGAAAGAAAAAATAATTAGATTGTAATTTTTTTAGAATACCATATGTAGTTATTTTGTTAAACTGCTATTTTCTTATTTTGTGTGTTTCCATTCCATCCGCAAATTAAAATGTAAGGGAGTTAAAACCCTAGTCTTGTTACTAAATAATGTCCTTTAGTTTGAGGATCATAAAAATTAACAGACAAGATAAATTACATAATTGGTCACTCTGAGGATTGAACCAGAAGCCTTCTGAGTTGAAGGCGAGCGCTTTAATCACTTGGCTTCTCAGATAATGTATTTGACATACTTTTTTGTAATTTAAAAGGATAAACAATTATCCTTGATCCAAAGGATGGTTATAAGTTATTGGTGTATACTGTAGACTTCAATGTAGAACTGATGATTGCCAACAGGTTGAGAGTTAGAATTTAAACAATGGATTATCCCCCCCCCCCATAAAATTAACTTATGTGACAATGTTGGGGGAGAGGTCATTCAGAAATGAAGACAAGATTTAGAAAGGTTCATAGTGTTTGAAGAAAGATTTCTAATTTGAATATCGCGGGTGGTTTTTTAAGTAAGTCTGTTTATGCGTAGTTTGCATAACAGGCCAGTAACAGCTCTGTAGTTAGTGTGTATGTCAAAACAAGGCTGCTCGCTGCTTAATCATTTTTTATGAAACAGAATGACTCAATTTACATCTGTGTATTGTTACTTTTCACAGTTTTTAACATTTTTTAAATTTATCTCCTGCCACGTGCAACATAGTGATATGTTTTTGACCACAAGAAACCTATCTTGCTGACATTCATCGCCAGATGACGGAAGCTTATGGCCCTAATAGAGGGGAATGTTCAGAAATGTGCTAAGGAGTTTAAAAATGGCTGTGAAAATATTCATTTAGGAAGGTATTGTTTTTGGTGGGTACCCAGACTTCTCACACAAGAACTCCAAGGAAAAGGGTTTTCACAGAAACTTTTACACTCCATAATCCATTTCCGTACTTTAATCTCACACATTGCTCTAGGGCCATAGCCTTTAGTCGTCTGGTGATGAATGTCGGCATCGGATATGTTTCTTGTAATCAAACAACATAACTGATCTTATCTGGCACGTGGTGGGGTTTCAGTAACCAACAAACTTTTTAAAACACAAAGCAAAGTCTACGTCAGCTACAGATCTGCAAATGGTGTCCCTCTGTTCACAAATATTATGCCAGTAAGCGGCGAGGTGCCTCCTTGCGGCACAAACCCAACAAACTGAAAAAAAAAACGCAAAGCAACCAAACGGCCCTTGATTAAAAAACTTTTCTCATAGTTGAATTGGTTCAACAGTGTTTACTAAGAAATCTGATTTGAATATGGTTTAGATGCAAGACTTTTAACACTCAAGTTTTAGCCTAATGGGAAGAGCAGATCTCCGGTATCTTTTGAATCTATCCTTGGATGAAAAATTCTTGATAGAAGAAGGGCGAAGGATGGTTTAGAATGTTCAAGGGCTGTGCTTGAAATTATGTATATTATTTACCAAAGAATACCTGATACTTAAACTAAAACTAAGAGTATATAATGTTATTGAATGTTTATTTTCACAAGCCAAAGCCTTCTGTACATTTATATGGTTATCATTGTTAAATCTGACTATGGGACTTGAAGCAATCTCATTGTAAGCTACTACTGCTTCATTAAACACTTGAAATGTGAGAAAAGATTTACAACAAAGACAGTTTTTTGTGTAGACAAAATTCAATCCTCTCAAGCTCAAAGAAATAACTTAGTACTTTTTTTGGAAACAATTACTTTTTTTACTTAGCTATTTAGAAGCGAATTTCCAAAAGAATTCTAAAAGCTTTTGATATTTTGTTTTTAAAGGTTAAAAATAACTGGTCTAGATGTTATGACCACTGGGCTAGACATGAAACTGGAAGTGGCACTGTAATGGCAACTCTGCTAGAAAATCGAGATACTATTTTTTTTTGGTTGGTACTAACTAGGGGAATCAGCTTATTTGCTCATGGATTTATGTATGCACGATCCCACAATCTCTTGTACTTTATCTCCTAGCCAATCGGGGCCAACGTATCGTAATTCTCATCCGTCCAGTACTACCTGTAGTTGTATCTCTAGCTCAATGGTTATTGCAATCCTTTTATTTACAATGTTCAAATACTCATACCCAATTTTGTAACTGTCTAATTCATACTGCAACTCTGTTTACTGCATTTTAGATGTTTGTACATTAAGTCTTCAAGTTCAAGGTCTTTAAGATTGTTTTACATGAGTCATTGACAAGAGAGAGTTAGTGGGGGATTGAAGGTTAGATTATACTGTAAATCATTGGGGGGAGGGAGGTCACAGTAAAAGGAGATTTGAGTAAAATGGAGTGAAGCTTTGAGATATACAACTTTTCTAATTATCAAAACTCACCTTCTCCCAAACCCTAAATCATTTTCCCCAAGCTGGTCATCAAAACTGATTATGACGTTAATTGTACGAATTTCACAATTCTAAATCTAGGTGAGCAGGGATTGGCTGTGTCAACTAGAATATTTGCTCTCTCTTTTACTCAACCCATAAAACCAGGCTTCAGTGTTCACCTAAAATGTCTAACATGATGATCTGATGTACATTTTTCTCGAAAAATTTATTCATAGGTCAAAAGTCATCCAAACGATACATTTTTGTTCTGCTATAAGAAAGGACCCCTCAAATAGTGAAACTATGTCTTGACTAAATAAACTGAGCTTTTATGGCAGTTACAAAATGAATAAAAAATTATATAAGTGGTGCTTGAGTGTGTCATAGGTGTTTTGATGCTCCTGAACAATTTTCAGATCAGGAGAAACAACTGACATTTCTTCATACATTTGTTGCTTTGTACAAAAAAATGAAACAAATGGTTTTTATTGATCTGAAGATGATGTAACAAGATTGTTGAAACTTTTGAATTATCCGATAAGAGAAAACCAAAATCACAAGGTAGATTATGGTATTAACGCTTTTTATTGATTATACCTAACATATTCCTGAAAGAGAACACCATTTTGAAGTCTTCCACTTCCTAACCAAAAATTTTTACCGAGATCTACAAGAAAATACCATAGTTCTTTAATTCTCTTAACCATTGGAGCATTTATGTCAAATTGTTGTGTCTTTAGGTTTTGGAGTCTTTCAGAAACTGATCTATAACCTTTAGTTTATTATTGTCAAAGTCGAGAAAGATGTTTATGAATTGAGTTGTAAAAAGTAATGGAAAAGCGTCAGAATTGTTTGAAGTCTACTATTTTGTTGTTGAATTATTTAAGCTGTACACAAGATAAAGGCAATGTATGGTACAATTTAAAGTTATGAATAAACAAGCTGTATGTTATGTCTAAAAACTTCAACATTCATTCCACATTTGTTGCCCTTAATACCTGAAGTCATTATTGTCACTCATGTTAAGAAAACTTCACAATTTGTCTCCTAAAACATCTTTGAGTAAAATAAAACAAACGGAATATGAAAGAGTTTTAGTCTCAGGCATGATCTAAAACACAAAAATGTGACTCCTAAAGCCTAAAAATTATTGAAACAGAAAATCAGAAGTCAATCCAATTGTGGTTTTATACAGTGAAACATTGTTAAAAGAAATCCCACAATGCATGAGACCCATGCGAAGAAAACCAAAAGTTAGAAAATCAAACACATGCAAAGAGAGGGTAAATTAAACGCACATCTTGGGTGAAGTGGCAGCATTTATTGTCACTAGAGAGCCCCGACCATACAACGGTCGAATCAAACTGCTTACATGACTTAAATATTAACTTAAATAAACGGTTTGACACAGCAACTTAAAGTGCGATCCGTAGTGCTTACGACCAACTGAATAATTTTGGTTTGGTTCGCGAGATGGCCCCAAAGTCAGTCTCAAAACAAAATTGTAGGATAACAACAGGGAGTGAGTTTGGAACCATTTCGCCTTCGACAGAAACGTCGTGAAAGTCTGGTTCTAGAGAACCGATCACTGAGTCTTTAGGCACTTCACTTCTGCTTAGGCAGAGTCGTCAAAGTCCTTGGGGGATGATGGCCGAGGGCTCTGGGCTGTGGAGGGCCTGGGACTCTGAGCCTGAGGACGAGTTGAGCCTCCCTTTTGGGAAGGTCCGGCTGAGGGGACGTTCTTGGGGGCTGAGCTCCTTCCGCTTCCGCTGCCTGCGCCGAGTCCGGCCAGAAGCTCGCTTTTCCTGATGGCCTTCAGGTCCAGGTCGCCGTAGTAGTCCTCACTAGGAACGGGTTAGAGTTACAGTTAGCGAGAAGAAAGAGCCAGAGAAGGTAATTAGACATGCAAAAGGTCATGCTTGCTCAGCACAAATGAGCTTCTGGGATGGAAAATGTTATTTTTGAATGTTGGAAACAAATTTATAATGATTGACATTTTTTTCAAAATAAGCTTAAAGATTTGGTAATTCTTCATCCATAGGAAAATGATGAATTTGAATAGCATCATTAAAAGATATAACGTTATTATATTAGTCTACAACTGAGCAAAATCACCTAATAAAATTTAAACTTTTGAAGTATTAAATTCTGGTAACCCATCTAGATCTCAATCTATCATGTGTTTTCTCGTGTTAAGATAAGGAGTGGTATAAAAGTTGTTTGTTTGATTCATGTTATTGGTATCAGGTTTCATTTCAAGGCCAGTGAAGGTGTTTCTGTTTGTGCAATCGTTTTACATTCTATATCACTATTGCTAATCAATGTATTATACACTAAATCTATCACTGACATTCAAAATTCACACACCACATGCAGCAACCAAAATTAAATCAAGACTCATGCAGCAACTGGGTCATTTTAGTTGCTAGTTCCCTTGAAAACCCAAAAGTGTATATACAAGACTTTAGGGTCACAGTTATTGAATGAATTCCCTAATCTTGCCGTAATAATATTTTTCAGTTAAGTCTTGAAGATCGAGAGTAGGCTAATTAGTTTTCAAATTTGAAAGGGAGTAAACATCAAAATTTCTTAGCAAGTCCAGAGCCTCCAGTGTAAGCTTCACATTAAGTACCCCTGAGGTCAATGCAGTTTTATGCATAAGTGCTCAAATCGGGATGATAATTTATTTTCTTTTTCAAAGCTGGATAATTGACATTGCAATCTAAACTTCAACTATTTTGTTATTTCAATTCTTAAACTTTTTTGCCATCAAAAATAAATTAACAAAGTTATCCAACAATTCAATGAAAACTACAAACACCTCTTAAATTTTCTTCTGCAACCGATCGCTTGACTACAAGCCTTAAGTATTTGAGTAATGTTTCATAAATCAAGAAATATTAATCAGGCGCAGTGAACAATACAAATGGACGAAAGTCAAAAGTTCCTAGTCTCGGCATGGGCATAGCAGCAGCCTTCCACTACTGGACGGGTTGTCATAGCAACCAAAGGTTGGCATAGCAACGAAAGGTTGTCATACCATCCAATGGTTGACATTGCAACGAAAGGTTGTCATAGCAACCATCTCGTCTTTGTCCCTACACTAGAATAAAGGTCATCGGAACAAAGGGAAATATCAATATTTAAACTCACCAGCCGGGAACATCCTCGGGGTCTTCGCAGTTGCCAGTGCCGTCAGCATCTCCGATCTTGAAGACTGTTCCGATGGGACATCCGTACTCCCGGGCGGTTCCGTCCATGCAGATGTAGTATTTCCTGCAGTCGTCAGGGTGAGCGTGGCGGGTGAATGATCCAGCGGAGATGCCGAAGGTGGAACAACTGAAGCCGTCAGCAACCTCTGTAAATGCAAACAATGCTTTGTAAAAGTTTTTACGAGGTTTTTCTGAACTTTGGTTCTGATCTTGAAATTAGTGATCAGGTTGGAAAATTTTAGACTTCAGTTGAGTTTGTTGCTAGTTTAGTGGTTAGGTTCTCAGACTTCCGTGCGACTGGTACAGATTGTATCCCGGAATTCACTTTAAGATTTAGGAGCTATGCCAGTTTTCCTTGAAGGAGTTAATGGTTCTTTGGTAAAAAAAAAATGCCACTATTGTGGACCCTAAAAGCTAGAATTAGATCTGAGATTTTAATTAGGAGATGAGACTCTGCATGAAAAACTGAAAAAAGGGCCAACAAAATTTTCTTCGTTTTGGAAAGAATATTAATTAGGGACTGAATAAATATACACAACGTACACACTTTTTTTTAACTCTTGCAATTCTCCTGCTAAATTTATATTTCATAGGTTAAAAATATTTTTATACTTTCATTTCTCATCTTTTCTATTTAAAAGTCACATAACATTTGTTTGGAAACACCATCTTGTTTAGAAAGACATTCCGTAACGCATAATGTCAGACAGTTTTTTTGTATTTTTAGTACAAAAAATAGTACCTCTTTATTTCACCTTCTTAAAAAAATCACCTCATCCCTCGTTTAACAAGTCTTCCTCCTTTTTCTTGTGAAACCCCCTTTTTGACCACATAATATTCAGAAATTTATCTGGTGAAAAACTCCTCATTAGGGTAATATAGTTTGAACCTTCTGTAGAGATTTTCGGAAACTCACCTTCAACCTTGCATTCAGGAACCTGGTCAGCCCACATGCAGACACGGGCTTCTCTGTCGTAAGCGAGACCGGGAGAGCATTGGTATCGGCTAGCCTCTCCGTTCCAGCAGTTCCAGAATGTGTCGCACTTGACTTCATCGGGGAAGATACCGTACAGCCTAGGGCAGTTGGGTGTGCTGATGGGGGGCTCTGGAAAATGAAAGAGGCTTGAGACTCCAGAAACTATTTGGAAGAATGAGCTGATTAAGTTAAATGAAGAGCTGCAGTAGATACAAAATCTTTTGAGACTTAGCATGCTCCAGGAGTAAAAGAAATAAAGCTGAAGCTGGACTAAATACATTACCTTAATCATTGAGGAAATGTAGATCTGAGAAATCAACACTTTGTCACAAGCCATGTATGTAAACACTTCTTACGACAATGAAGAACATTTGATTGGAATCTTTCATATCGGCAAACACACTCTAACTCATTTCAAACTGCATATATGTTTCTATTAATTAAGATGTCCTGTTTTGTTGGATTATATATGCTGTAGGGCACATAAGATCTTAGACTGGAACGGAAATGTAACTGACATGAAAAGTAAACAAAAATCCAACATGCTATATATACATCCCGAGAGAAAGGGATGATTTTCAAAATGCTATATTTATATTATCTTCTTATCCTTCTTATCCTGGATTCAGACCAATAATAATTACAAATGATCTTTAAAAATGAAGTTTTCTCACCAAGCTGTGACCTGTCTCCACAGTCGACGTTGTGGAGGTAGTCGCAGTTCTCCTTCAGGTACTTGGGGTCTGTGTCGTCGAAGGCGAGACCGTTCCCGCACGTCTTGAGCTCAGCGACTCCGTTGTCACACTTCCAGTACTTATCACAAGACACCGGGTGAGGATAGAAGCCGTAGTCATCTGGGCATTTGAAGTCTTCCTTCTGTGCGCTAGCTGTAACCGAAAATACAATTGGTGATTGGAGTTGCAACTGTTGGGGAGATAAAGAATATTAACTGTATAAGTAGAGATCCATTTCAGCATCTTGTAATTTAACAGATAAAGTATTCATCAGCACATTTTGCAAGTATGAAAATCGATCAATGCAAGTTCGTGAAGAAATGATGCAATGTCCTTTCGTGAAATCTTTTGCTAATTTTCTGACTATACAGTTTAGGTTGACGACAACAAGGTTTATAATTATGTAGTGATACTACATTAGTTTTATTAGCACAAAAATCATTCTTAGAAGGCAAGGATAGAGGAAACTTAAAATTTGTAGAATAGCAAAGAACCTTCGAAAAGTCAAGTTGGCAAACACGTCAGCAAAGTATGGAGTGGTTTGAGCAGTCAAGTGTTGCGTCGACAGACACACCCACATTCCTCTTACACAATCAAACTGTCCTTTCCCGGACCTATTGTCGCACAAGTACTTTCCTGGGTATTACCATGTTGTCTGTTACAGCTAATCGTCATTGGACTTGTATGAAAGAGGCAAAAAGTTTGGATAATCCTATCAAAACGAGCAAAACATGAAAATCATGGCCTTCAAGAAGAATTATGACGTTCCTCTTGACAATCCATGAAGATATGTTTACAAGATTTACTGTAATGGTGTTTACTACTTCAAAACATTTCACGAAGAATCTTCTTGCAGGACGAGTTTAACTACTCATGCAGCCTGCAATCCAGCCTTGGCATTTTTGCACGATCTTATCGCAAATTTTACGACTGCAGTTTTCATATCGACCTTTATCAGCTGGTGGACCACCCTGATTCCCGCCCTAGATATCGGCCGTTCACCGCCAGCTAATTGTAGACGGTAGTTGCGGAACAGTTTACACTCACACTTCCTGACCTAGGCCATTGTCTAGCTGTTGCAACGAGTCGCACCCTCCAGCTATCGAAGGTGTGATGTGGAGCAATCTTAGGGGAGTATTGAAGTGTAACAAGACCTCCCAGTGGATTCTTTGTGTTATGACTTCTCATGACAAATTTGTATGGGATACGGTACCTCTTACTTTCTCTATATCTAGGCAGGGATAGGTAAATTCGGTTAAGTCAAATTTTGTACCTATGAGAGTTTAAGAACATGAGACAGCTGAAAATTGGGTGCTCTCGTACTTTTGGGGTAAGTTTTTAGCATAATTTATCTTTGAAATAAAATTCTCGATTACTTTTTGATCGAATCTATTCTCAATTTTCAGAAAGAAACATCTGTATTTGCCTAAAATTTTGCCACCTTGACTTTAAAGTCACGGTAAAAAGATCACAAGACACTAAAGAAGGATCGGATTTACACTTCACAAGGACGTCGGAGCGAAACAAACAGAACTAACGAACCAAAACACCTCAAGGAGAGCAACCGGTGTCGCCGCAATAGTAAACAAAGCGAAAACAACAAAGAATCGCCAATCGTCAAAATACCTCTCACAATAACATCGCGCATTCCATCCGCAAGTCTTTATCACCGATTTGTCACCGAAACCTAACCTTTCAGAGTTGGTACACTCGATCCGTCGCGGTCCGGCTGACGTTGCGTCACCCTAACCTAATTTCTCCCCCGTGTATTAATTCCTGGTAAATATTTACCAATTAATACCTCGTAATCGAGCGTGTCGGCCGCATGGTGCAAGCGTTACGTAACACCAGTCAGATTCCTGGATGAAGTCGAAAGTGGTGCGAGGAAAGTGTAGACCGACCATTATCTGGACGTGCGTACAGTTTCCTGATCTCAGTTCCGCCGGACCCACCCGCATCACGAATGACTGATTGTCACAGGAACCATCCATTAGTGAAAGATCAGGAATACATTTTGGAAACTCTTGCCGTTACGTAAATTTGGGGAACAAGTTTCTAAACGAGATGTGTCGAAGAAATTCGTCAGTAGTGGGAGTAGGCCAGGAAGCCGCCCTAGTCCTACTACCCTGGTTAGACCGTCTGGTTTACAGCCAGTATGCTAATAGTATAGGCTTTCTCTGGTATGCCGACTTATGTAAGGGTGACGTAAGGCTGGAAAGGTTACGAACTGAACAGAGAGAGTGGACCGAAGGAGCTCGTGTCACGCCCTGAACTTCATTCATCAACAGCTTTCACTCTGATATAAATAATTTTGGCTTGTTTGTACACCGTAGATTGACTATTGAGTGGCCAGAGTTGAAAGTACAGTAGGTGGATAGGGTCAAAACCCCCAATTCTTAAATACGCTTGGTGAACTAGCATCAATACTCAGAACCCATCTTTTTTGGGTTTATTCAGAAACCCATCTTTTTTAAACCTCCTCTCCTAAATTTCAGAGCGTCATAAAGATTATGATGACCTTAGTTCCGAACCATGAATTCCACTTTATGATGCTTGTAGATCTCCAAGAATTTACTACTGTTACTATCCTACAACTACTAATACAATTTAGCAGTTACTATCCTTTTGTTAAATATGACTTCAGCCTCATTCACTTCTAGAGAAGATCACAGAATTACACAACAAGAAACATAAGTCATATAGTGAACACGATTATAGGTTTGATAACAAAAGAAACCCACCAACCCACCCACAAGAATGACCGTAGAAGCAATCAATTAAGATATCCTTTTTGGTACACTGTTTTTCTACACCGGAATCACTTCCGCCATTGCACAAGAAGCAGTCAGTGTCACGACTGTAGGAGTGACTTGAATCTGGTAAAACAACTTATACAAGCCTATATTCGGCACAAGGTGACTTTTTAGGCGAGCAAAAATCCAAATGAATGTCAACCAAGGACTTCCTGTCTGTTACGAAGGATCAAGTGACTTTCCTCATATGACAGCTTTTGGGTTTCCGTATCGATTGAGAGGAATGCGGATTTTTTTTACACTAACTTAAACAAATTTGAAATAATCATAATTGATTCACTTTGCGAGTTAAATGTATGTTTTCTTAAAGGATTGGTAGCATAATTGAGTTAGGATCAATGTTCTTTAGCAACACAAATTTCACCTGCCTAACTAAGCGCTCATCTACACTTGTTCCCCAGAACCTACGTTCCTTGATTTTCGCAATCCTCTCAGGTCAACTTGTAGGGGTCAAATTTAAATACCAGTTGGGATTACCAGTAAATATCCAGCATGAGCAATCGCTTTGGCAAGCCTCGCAAGACACCCAACAGTTGCTCAATGTTTGGACGTGAGAATGTTTCTAATCGCCAAACGAGAAACGACATTCCGTCAAAGGCACATCTCGGTCAGTTGCTCAAGATGCGTCCGAAACCGGGACGACGACCAGTTGATTGTCAAGAGGAATGTGAAGAATGGCAGAGGATTGGAACCCTTTGGAACATTCAATGCTTGCAGCTAGGAACTTGAAGGTTGCACCACGAAGAAAAGTTTACAAGACAAAACCAATGATTTTCGTCACAATGGTCTGACAACACTTGAAATCTTGATTAGGAATACTGATGTGGAACATTCCTCAGATGAAAGTGAATCGAACTCACAGGACCGTCAAGGCAGAAAGCGCTGTCGCTCATGCAGAACTGAACATGTGGTTGATGGGCCAACTCCAATTAGAAATAGTACAAAATACAGGAGGAAAGTGGCGCAGGGAAAGTTAGGAACCGATCTGAGATATGAGCAGAACAAGATGAGGTGACTTTCCCGCAGGCGATGTGCGGTTTGATTGCGGCTATCACCTTGAGGTGACCTTGACTGCGAGACTACTGGGACAAGCCTGGAGCGAGGCTACTGCGCACTGGAGATAAATACACCCTTGCGTATTTTGGAACAAACAACGTAATTGCCTAACGATTACGTGTATCATTTGGTTAGTTTGGAGAAGTGTGATTCACATTGTTGAGTGAGGTCAAATTCTTAGACGCTGTGATCAAATATTGGGCACACGAACTTTATTTTTGTGGAGAACTTGAAGAGCACTTAATGAAATACCAAAATCCTAATTTTGATAAATGGGAGCTCTTCAAATGAGCCAAATTGAAAAAATGTGCTTCTGCTCTCCAATAAATTTCAACAAGAGATAATATAGGGTATTCGAGGAGGTTCTACTTTTAGACTCATCTACAACATGCGCTTTAGTGTCTTCTTGGCAATGAAAATCTTCTTCCTCTCTTGATTTGACTACATTACAGCTTTACGATTCATCACACTGGAATGTAATTAAGACTTGAAAACAGATCACGTTTCTTGGGAGCGTATTGGCATGGGTTACCACCCAGGAGTGTGAGAACTGAGGACATATTTCAGCCACGCGGAAGTGGAGGAATGATTTATGCAGTTCGACTCCTCAGAATTCGGCTGGCTCGACTCCAGGGGCGGACTCGGCGGAACGAAAGTGAAAACCTCGGTCAGTGACACCGGTGATTGGTGGGTTTGGTCGGACTATTTACATTAGATAACCATTCCCTGGTCTAACCATGCATAAATGCTTGAAGTAAGCTCATTGTAAATATTTCTGGAAGGCATGTGAAATTTTACGATTTTGAAACCTATCACGAACCAAAAGAAGAAGAAACCAGAACTTGGAATAACAAACTCAATTTAAGTACTGAGGGGTTAGATTGGATTATAGTGTCGGTGAATTCAAAGGTAAACTGCATTGCATAAATCGTCCACTAACTGATAGTAAATTGCAATTAAAAAAGCTATCTCACTTCCACCGTTTGTAAAATGTTTAAAAAGGTTATCACAAAAACCTAACCAAATCGATTTTTTAACTCCTCACGAAGTCTCTCTGTTGAAGAGGATCCTAACGTAGGAGAACATTAAAAAAACACGTCCCTACTTCAACAAGAAAATTTCAACATGAAGTTTATTGAAAATCAAAACCACTCAAGCAGCGTTAAAGTCTCCACAGAAGTCGTTCACCCGCCAAGGCTACAGCCGCTTTTACTATCAATGCTGCGGCAGAGGCAATTTCATTTTGCACGGTGATTCTTCTCACAACCTAGGCATTGTCTGGAA